CATTGTCATCTGTCGACGTTAACATTAAATATGGATTTATCTGGAATATTAAATAATACAAACATAACAGCACACAGTCCATGGCCTATGCTTAAGACATTCCAAATAGCTGGTAATCCATGGAATTGTGATTGTAATCTTCTACAAACTTTGGAATATGCTGGCTCTCATCATCTTTTGGAGGGTGATCAGAGTCGTTGTGATATGCCATTCATTTTGGCCGGTGTTAAACTATCAAATCTGACAGCGTCGGGAATTTGTTCCATGCGAATTCCGGCGAAATATCAAATTGTAGATGAAAATGCACCGCCACGTTTTCGCAGGAAGCGTTACATTATTCTGACAGTGATAACTGCATCGGTTGTCGTCGTTTTGGGCCTAATAATTGGTTTAATTGTTGTCTGTATACGAAGACGCTTGAAACGAGATGATTACGGTGTAGAACCCATACGCTATACCAGTGTAAGAAGCAGTAACCTATCCGCATTTTCACATGTCCAACCGAATGGTAATGGTGCCAATGGATCAGCTGGCACCAGAACGTCTGGTGTATGAAAGTATTTCTTTGTTATTCAAAAAAAAAAAAAGAAAGAAAAATATCCTAATTAGAATTTAAGTCTGACGATTTTCACAAACCCTGTAAAATTTAGAAATGTAAATTTTAGAAATGTAACGCTGTATGTGAATGGACATCTACTTCCTGTGTATGATTTTATATGAATTGTTGACCAAAGATTTTGTTGTTAAATAATGAATGTGTGCTTATTGGTATTAACTGTTAATAATATTGATTTGTCAACATACATACTTAAATATGTAGTGCTTAATTTATTTGTATATATACATACGTACATATAATATTTCCGTAGGTTAAGTCACAAACTTTTATATACGAAATTACGGTTTCGAAAAAACTACCACCTTGCCATAATGTAGTATTTAGAGTTTTTATATGTTTTATTTGAATTTTTATTCATTATTAATTTGTCCATTTCGTTTTCATAAATTGCATTATATTTACATTGTTAATTGAATATTTTCCTATCGAAAAACTGCCCTTAAGTTTGTAATATTTCTTCTTTTTTAATAAAATACATATTTTTTCTACTTTTTGAAATGTTTTGGTTTTCTGTGTTAGAAACTCTCAGGGTGGTCGTATATAAATGTATTATTGGAGAATATTTGTGGAGAATATTTTTTTAGTATAGTCCCCATCGAACACTCCCCTAGGAGACCTTTGATCAATAGAGAAGATTAATATTGAGTGAGGTGTGGAGACTTTCGATATAGCCCAATATAAAAGTATTGCCCTAGTTTAGGTATTTCAAATGCATTTTTGATTTTCAGAGGGCCCATGATGTAAAGATATTACATATTTTAAATTATGTTCTTAATTTAACTTGCCATTTCATATTGTAAGTCGGTAAAATGGACCGAAAATGCTTTGACCCAATTTTAGATATTTTGAAGTTTTCCAAACAGTTCCGTCCAAATGGTATATGATCCTGGCCTCTCGCTTTTTTCTCCATTTTTTCATAAGAAAATCTAATAGCAATAAAAAAAAAACACTTGATTAAGACCAATACAGCTTTTATAAGATATTGTATATTTAAACATCAAAAATATTAACATAATAAAATCTTTTTTATAATATATATACTTTTAGGGGGTCACATCTTCTTAAGGCCAATTATAAAAGTTGTCTCATAAATTATAATAAAAAATAATAACATAAAACTTAGTTTTTTCTTTCATTTAACTGCTACTCATATAAATACACTTTTAAAGTAATGCAAAACGAATGTTTAACACTCGCTTTCCAAAATGTCTTCTTCGCCCAATGCATTAGATGGTGTGGGCGGAACATCTAACTTAAAGAGATTAATTGCCGGCTTTTGGGCCAAAAAGTTGCGCATTTCAGCAAAGTTGTCGCGTTCTTTTAGTTTCTTTGTGCGGCGTTCATATTCTAAATCGGCACTACCCTCACTGCCCTCATCAGAGACATCATCGTCGTCAACTTGTTTTTCCGTTGAATTACATTTTTCCTCAAAACTTTCGCAGTCCTCATTGTCGAATAGTTCGTCGACATTAATGCCCTTTGCGGCCAACACTTCACGCTCCTTTTGTAACATGACCTTGCGTATAGGATCTATGCGACCCTTTAGCTGCTTCAAAACGGGTTTAAAACGACCTTTTGTTATCCGTTTCTCAAAATTTAATATTTCCAAATCTTCTTTACGCTGCTCCAACTGTTCTTTCTCTAATTGTTCTTGCTCCAGCTTGGCTTGTTTTTCGTCAAACATGTAGGCATAAAAGTCATCGGTCTTTTCGGCGTCATTGGGATTCTGTGAAATTTCCACACGCAAAAAGCTTTCAGGAAATTCATCATCCGTATCCTGCGATTTAGTATCACTCTTCTCACTGGGTTCCTTCAAATCTAATTTACTATTCAGGAATTTATTATAAACCAACATTAGACGCTGGAAGTCATCGAAGCACAATGACAATGCATTTTCAATGCTGCGCATATTGTTGGCAACCTCGACTAAGTGTTTGGCATTATCCTTTTTGACATTTTCTGTTTCTGTAAGTCTTTGCAGGGTTATGTCCAAAGCTTGGCATTCTGCAGCCACAGCCACCATACAAGCGCTCAGCTTTAGTGAAGAGTCCTGCAATATTCCGACCGGATCATTTCTTGTCCTTAGAGCTCGGCTGGCGTTGAGTTCCTCCAACTCTAGAGATTTTTTCTTATTCTGCTCAATGGCAAGATTTTTAAAGTGGTTCTCCTCTTCCATCACCAATTGTCTTATAAGGCATTCGATTTTTACTAATTCTTCATTTAGGCAACTCAAAGACGGCTTAGTGTAGACAGTTAATGCTAATCGGAGAAGGAACTGTGATTGGACATAGGCGAAGATGTTATGAAAATCCTAAAAATAAACACAAATGTTGAGAATCAGAAAATTTTTTCTATAATGCTAAATTTGTAATTGTGCAGTATAGAGTTACGATATTAAGTGACTATAAACGATATGTCCTTATAAAGTTCAAAACTTTTCCCGTGACTTTTGGTTACAGTCGTAGTAAACGATTTTGACAGATTTTACAAAATTAAATACTATATTCTGCTAGAAGAATTCTAATTCATTTCCTTTTTCATGAGATTTACAAATATTCAACATTTGATTTAAGTTTGTGTAGAGTTTGAATGAAATTGCTTACTCCCTCTGTATGCTATAGAGTACTCCATCCAGAATGAGAAACGGATGGACAATATTTCCATTAGGGACAATATTCCTATACCAATATTCTAAATCCAAATAATTATCACATCAGTTGAAAGAGATTCAAATCCCATTTAAAATAGTTTAAACTACGGTCACAACAAAGTTGTAGTTTGTCAGAAGATTTTGTTCGCATAGAAGATATTTTAATTTTTAAAAACGAGAAATTTTACATCATGCCACTCATAAATCAAAATCGTACCTAAGGTACACATGTACTTACTTTAATATGCTTTGGACTATAATCGGTAACGTTAGTCTTGAAATAATCACATTCTTTTAAATCTTCCATTGGTGCATAATACTGTGAGAATCGAGCTGGTAAGGGATATTGTGATTCCAATTTTCGGGTGGCTTCAAATAAAATTTCAGTCACTTCCTTGGCTGCGGTAATACAATCCCAAGCTCTTTCGATTTGACGTGATCTACATTGAGAATATAAATTTGAATATTATTCTGAGGCATAGTGGCTTTGAAAAATTTTTTTTCAAACATACTCTATTAGTTCCTGTTGCTTCATTATGATTATCTCATTAAAATAGGTCATATTGCGTCGTATACAATTCCCGAAGTCATCAATTGTGCGTATGAGATTCTCAAATTCACGTTCCACGATTTTATTACGAAACCCGAAAACTTTTTTCACCGCGTAAAGGGCACTGAAACTGCCTGCAACAATTGCTGACGGCACGAGCAGAAGACGCAGTGCACGTGGTGTAATAAAATGTTCCAATACGGTGGAACCCAACAACAGGCAAGTATTGCGCGCCGTAAATATTTCTGGCCATTGTGTATTTATTCGCATATGGTTGCCTGTTGGCCCATTGGAGTCTGTTGCATCCGTACCAGCGGCAGGGTCGTTGGTCGACTCCAATGACCTTTCTTGCATATAGGCCATACATTGTTCCAGTGCTTCCACATGATCGACCAGCAATCTTTTAGAATACAGGATTTTGTTAATTAAGCTCTCGGTGGCTGCCTGTAAAACAGAATGCAATGTTATCAAAATCTCATAGAGTATTTATACTCCTTATAGGTCCTTACCTGTTTTTGTTTTAGCTCATCCGACAACTGGCGACATAGCTCCACCTACAAAATATAAAAACAATGGCAGGTAATGCACCGCCGACAGGTGTTATGTAAATGCAGATGTCTTACTCACCTTCATAATTATTTTGCGTGTTTGTTTATGTGCGTTTCAGATTGTGTTTTAATGTTTTTAATTTATTTTTAGATCCGTTTTATTTACAATAGTATAGTCAAGTTCCAATGCCCACAATGACCAATTCATTAGAGGTTAGTCGAAGCGAACCGACCTAATTTAAAAGCGCGTACATGCAATGAATCGAACCGAAGAAATGAGAGAACGTGTGATAACAAATGAAGTTGAAGCATAATGAACGATGTTAGTATTTGTTTACGAAGGGGGCTGATGCACAACGCCGAAAGGGGCGATTGTTTAGAAAGAGACATGGAGGAATGGGAAATATGTTCAAAAGAGAACTGAACATGAACTAGTTCAATCGAACGATTTCATGTAAATTGCTAGGTTCGTACCGTTTGGGTCAACGTAATTTTTATAAAAATGCTTCACAATAAAGACAATTTTTACAGGATGGGTAATTTTTGTCTTCCTGATCGATCTTATAAGATGACCATGATATAGTCCCCTTATAGTACATTTACATTGTATTGAATTTCGTAAACCCAGTAGATTTATATTGTCAAATCTATTGAATATATGTGAAATGAATCGTGTATATTTATAGTGGCTTTAGTTTCTGAAACAAATCATGGCACAACAATTAGGTAATCCAATGAGCGCAGCTGACGATTAGATTAACTGTTAAAAAGCGTAGTTTGTACTGGAATTCGATGTGTAATTTTGTCAACCATGTGAAATTTTACTAGAAAAAAATTAACAAATGGTCGGGTAAAAATCAATACAAGACAATTCGATTTCAAAAATATTTTTTTTGACAATGTTCTGAATTGGTATTTCAAATTACTGACACTACAAACAAAATACACACAACGAATTGCCAGAAAATTGCAGGTACGAGCAATTTATTTCAATTTCTATTCCCCTTGCCCCTCTCTCCCTCAAACAAAGACTTGCCGCAATTAAACTCAATTTGTATTGCATTTAATATTAAACATAAAATTAACAAAAAAGAAAAATTTATTTGTTATGTTCCCCGGGAGCATTTAAGCTTAATGCATCTATACATTGTTTCTAATTTACTGAAACTTTTACATTACTTCCGAATATTCTTCCATTTACTGTAATTTTTATATAACTTAGTTTCAAATTGAACAAATTTTTTGGTCATAAAATAGCTTTTCCAAAAATGGCTGGGTTTGCAAAATCTTTTTTTTTTTTTGAGTTTTTTTTTTTGAGTTCGTCCGCTTTGTGGGTTGGCGATACTATGGATTCAAGTCAAGCGGTGCCAGGGTATACTCATAAATGTTGATTCTCCTTCTTTAAATGTTTCCAAGTAGTAGTTTGTTGCGAAGCGGCACCCTGTTGAGGGTATAGTGATATCGTTCTTTTACTTTATCTTCTTCAGTTGGTAAATTTGTCTATTAAACGAAGGCTGCAAAAACAGCAACACAAGGGAAACGAAAAACATAGCGAGAGTACATATGTACCATTAGATTATGGTTTAGTAATGTTTTCACATGCAAACAATAAAAACAATTACAAAAATACGACTCACGTGAACCTGTTTGAGCTGTAGGATCGAGTGTGTAAGTAAAGACCAGTCCAGTGTCGTAGATTCGATAGGATTATTATCCAAAGTGCTTAATAGTATAAAATTCAGGTACTTAGATTTGCGGACAGGGCAGAGATTCCGCATCTGACATTATCGAGATCTGTGGAAAAAACAGGAGTTGGGCCAAAAACGGGGATGGGGATCGTAAAAACTTAATTAGTTTAGTATGAATCAGGTGAATACTTATTTACTAATATCACAGTGTTACTATCACAGTAGGTGGTTGGGTAGTTAGTGAGGATCAAAGGTTAAGGTTTGCCTCCTTGACAAACCCTAGGATACAGCGGAAAAGGTTAATATCTTTGGATTGGAGGAGGGTTGTTAAGTTTTGGTGTTGGGAAAATAGGAGAGGGTAATTTTTCCTCATATTAATAAATTTACAGCACTCAAAAATACTGTGCTGTGCACTTTCCGGTTGTTCACATGCATCGCATAAATCGGAATCAGATGCTCCTATTCTATGTAAGAATACTTTGTCATATGTTTGCCAACCATCAATCTGTTTATGAGTTTAGTTTCAGAGGGGTTAAGAACAACCTGCTCAAACCATGGTTTTCCCAAAATTCCATTCGTAGCTTCGTAGAAAAAACGCCCTTTAGATAAACTAATATTATTATAGCTTTCTTTCCATTCTGCATAGACCTTGTTCTCAACGCATTTTAATGCCTCATTGGGCGAAAGCCCCACATCCATGGGTGCCCCTGCCTCAACAGCATGTTTAGCTAGCCAGTCTGCCTCCTCATTTATGCTGATGCCTTTGTGGCCAGGCATCCAAACTACATGACAGTTATCTATGCTTGATCTTTCCAGGATGTTGCGACATTCCGCAACCAGGAAGTTGTCAGAATTATCGGAGCCCAAAGCCTTACAGGCCGCAAGGCTGTCCGTAAAAATGACACATTTGTTGCATTTATCCTCTGTCGCAATTTCAAGCGCTTTACGCAGGGCATAGAGTTCGCCGAACATTGACGAGGATTTATGTTTTTGAAGAGAAATTTTTCATTTTTGGAGGCATTATAAATGCCACATCCCGTGGTAGATTCACCAACCGACGATTCTGAGGCAAAAATAGTGAACCTATTATTTTTATAGTGTGCAATTTCAGCATTATAAACTGATTTTATCACTTCATCCGGAGTGTTTTGTTTTGTAGTGGGCAATAGGTTGAACCTGACCTTAAGCTTGAATTGGTTTTTGTATGGAATGAACCTAATGTTTTGGAACACTTCTACAAATTCATTATAAATTGTACTGTAACTGGATTTCACCAAAGGATTATCCGATATGATGTCATACAGCCTCTCATTAGTTCTCATGATTTTTATGATTTCCTTAGCCGTGAGGATCTTGGCTCTGTATTCTGGGGGCAGTTCTCCAGCTAGTGCATAGATCACATGTGTGGGCGTAGCCTTTGGGACTCCCAGGGATCTACGAATAATTTCATTTTGAAGCCTTTCAATACCTTTGTTCACATACGCAGGTGCATGTGCCGTCGTCGTTCTGCCATACTCAACTTTAGACCTTATTATACTCCTGTATACATTTAAAGCCGCATTAGGGGTCTACACCCTTTCACCGACATCAAACACCGGAGCAGGTTAGTTCTATTATGAACTTCCTCACTAATGTGGGTGTAATGGTCCTTAACAGTTAAGGAATTAGAGATAGTTCTTCCCAGGAATTTCAGTTTTTTAACCTGCTGTATCTGATGGCCATTAATATTTACTACAATTTGCTTAATACTGTTTTTTGCGAAATAAATAGTGCTAGACTTTTCAGGGTTAAACCCCAGATTTAAATCACCGCAGCTCCTTTGAAAAGCAATGGCTTTCCTTTGCAGATGTTCTGTTGCCACATCAAAATCTCTGTCAAAAACCATTATCAAGAAGTCATCAGCATATTGGAAGATTCTTGTTCTATGATCTTCCATATCATGTAGTTTAGTTAAATACAGAAATTAACCTTGTTAGGTTTAGGTATCGGAACTATCTTAATAATCCTTCAACTGTCCTTGATGGAGTTGTCCAAGAATGCGTTATACATGGCAGTAAGCATGGCTCTTTTTGATATCCCCGGAAGTGCTTTGATCATTTCATATGTGATTTTGTCTTGACCACCAGCAGATCCTTTCTTTTTCCTATTCAGGACGCTTTCAAAGTGGTCAAATTCAAAAATGATTGGTTGTTCATTTCCATCATGCTCATACCCCGTGGTCAACTGCACTGTATGATAATTCACTTGCTCCTTCCGAAACCTTAGGTATTCTGCATTGTTGTCCGAATTCCAGTGTCCATTAACCGATACATTCCTTTTCCTGACATTATTCACAAATTTCCACGCCTCTCTTATATTACCTTTCTTATTCACCTCATCTATTTTTTCCAGAAAGCTATCCTTTTTTGCCTTCTGTACCATAGCTTTCCATGCCTCTATCTCTTTCCTGGCATTCTCCAGATTCAGATAACTGGGATATTTCCTCGATTTTTTGACAGCAGCCAGCTGTTTCCTATACGCCACCGTAAGGTTCTCGTTCCACCAGTACTTTGGAGACCATCCTGTTCTTAACTCCTTTGTAGCAGCTTTAACCTCCTCCACAATATTGCTTTCAATGTCTGAAAAATCTGGTTCCAAAATGAGTTCCGCTAATGAAGACATCAGTTTCTGCTTGTGTAGAAACATGCCTGCTTTTTTCCTGCACATTTCAACCTCAAACGAAATGGGAAGATGATGACTGCCTCCAAACGAGCCTTCCACAACATCCCATCCTTGGACATTACCACAGCTCACAAAAGTCAGGTCCGGAACTGATCCTCGGGAATCCCTGTTCCTCCTGAAAGTCTCCTTTCCATTATTGACACATGATAATCCCGCTTCAATCATTATACTTTCCAACTCTCTTCCTTTCCTGGATGTTAAATGATCACCCCAAGATTGATTTCTTGCATTAAAATCCCCACACAGAATGACATTTTCATACCTCTCCAGAAAGCTGGTTAAATTAGTCAATTCTTCTCTAAAACTCACAAACGGCACAGATGGTGGAAAATAGACAGAGACAAGCACAAAATTCCTTTGAAGATTTTGTGTCTTCACTAAAATAATATCATATTCCGTATCATATATAATTTTTGCAAATTTAATATATTTTTTTAGTGCGATAGCTACTCCTCCGTAGCCATCAGGTCTAAATTTTTGGACTAAGTTGAAGCTAATCAATTTATTGTTTTGTCTTCTGTCCTCAGCAAAAATTTCTGATAGCATTAGTATATCAAAACTGTTTTTGTTAGTAAAGAATTCTACATTTTATTATGCTTCAAAGATTGAATATTAAACTGGAATATCTTGAGATTCTTCACCATTTTGATTTATATTTTTCTTATTACCTTCTCCATTCACAGGAACTCCACAATTTTGAATTCTTTTTTGGAAATGAGACATTGCCTCTAACGCCACTTGGTTATCTTCTTTTTTAAAGATATCCTGCATAAATTTTAACAATTCTAATGTGATTTTTTCTAGTTCTGTTGTACGTTGACTTTCTTTAATAAAAACAGGAGACTTGGGAGACGGCTCATCAAACATTCGTTTTTCCATTTGTGCACCCGGCCTGTGTACATATTTCTTTTTAGGTTTCTTTGCCACTGAACTATAAGTGTACGGAGTTAAAATCACGTTCACATCATCATCTATTTTGTTTTTTCCCATCTGCTTCTCACCAGCACCTTTCCTCGCACCTGCTGAGAGAGGTGGAAAGTTGTTATCTTCCCACAAAATTTCAAATCTGTTCTGGCTTTTATATTTATTTATCACTTCTCTTTTAGACATTTTTTTACGCGTCATAATCATGTTAAGCTCTATCTCCTCCGCCCACTTAGGACATTTCTCTTTGTTCTTGCAGTCATGGTCCTCGCCACCACACAAAACACACATTCTAGTTTCACACTTCCTATCACATCCATCCACACCACATTTCAGACATCTTTCGCTGGAACGACAGCCCATCTGAGTGTGTCCCAATCTTCCACACTTATAGCACTGCCTGACTGCTGGGTAAAAGGTATCTACCACAAGCACAGTGTAATTAAAAAGCACCCATGACGGATGGTCATCCCCATAGAAACCCACTTTAATGGTTTCAGTGTCCATAAAAACCGGTTCCTCATTGCCAACTCTCCTTTTGAACCTCCTCACTGAGGCCACCTTCCTATCACATTTAATTCCCTTTAGCAATTCTTCTTCCGAAAAACATAGGGGTACATTCCTGATTACCCCAAAGGTTTCCACAAAATTTTTGGAAATAAAAGCCCTTAGGTTCTTCGCTTTCAACTCTTCATTACCCACAAAACTATTCGCAGAAACCCTGTCTGCAAAAGTTATCTTATACAGGGTAGTACCAATAGCTTCCACACGCACCATCTTTTCCAGTTCTTTAACATGCACATCCTTCATTTTTTCAATTAAATATAAACCATTTTTAACTTTCCTATTTCTCACATTCTCAGCTGCACTTGTATCAACCAACACCAAAAACTCACCCTTGTGCTCCGCTGTGTACAACACAGCTTCATCATTGAAGCGCCGCTTCTTCATATTTTGTCTTATCTGATCAGCATACGAACATGCCTTGTCGTTTTTGCCACCATTCTCATTCCATCCGCCATTTTCTAGAGCTCTTTTGCTCCTTGTCATTACACCTTCTTTTTCCGTTAGTCTATCACCACATCGACTTTCTGTGTAAGGCATGGCCGCCGTGGCGTCCATAACCTCACAATTTTGGGCCATTGGCTTGGCCACTGTACCCAAAAAAAAAAAATTCACCAAACGATCCACCAATTACCTTTAGCTTCCTCCTAGGTCAATGTTGATCAGCTCTTTTTATGTTGCTTCCCAGCTATCACTTGGGAAAGACAGCTCCACAGCACCCACAAAATTTTCTTTATTCTCTTCTCCTTTTTTATATGATCCTCAGAACACACTATTTTAATACGTCTGATCGCTACACAAACTCAAACAGGTATGTTGCAAAATCTTACTGCACAAAATTCTTTCAGTAAACTCCAGTAAGTTTGTTGTTGTTGAACTGTCCAACTTGCTCTCTCACTTGACTCTCTTTTACTGAATTTTTGGGTAAACATACAACATTTAGTAACATTTGGTAACAATTGTTACCAAATATCGTGTAAACAGACACAACGCAAGTGCTGTTGTAAAACAAACGATACCACAACCACATGGAAATTTGTAGTTGTAAGTTATACTAGTGTCAACGTCATTTGGCAGAAAAATTTAAACAAACAAATTTTATTTATTTTGAAAATGTAATATTTTCGAATCCTCAAAATAAAATTTAAAAACACGAATGAAAATCTATCAAATTTATATTTCTATCGCTTCCACATTTTCCTATAATTGAGCCATTGCCACTTATATGTGAAACACATATGAAAATGCTGGGAATTGCGAGTTATTCCATGAAGTAAAATTTTCTTCTTCAAACTTCCCCAGCAGGCATATTGAGTAAATTGAATACGGGAGAACATTTAATAAATAACAATTTCGAATTGTATGTGTTCTCAAACGTAATTTGTCATATTCATATTGACATTATAGACATATTGACATTATAGAAGTAATTGCTTCGTAAACCAAAGCAAAAAATATTATGTTTTGATGATTTAGAAAAAAAACTAAAAAAAAAGGTGTATTTAATCATGGTTCTGTACCATAATTTGTCATATTCTGACTTGTTGTACTAAAGACATGAACCTAAATTCAGTGCGTTGCGTACTAAAATACCCACCTGCTCACCTTTACAGGGTTTATTGAACGTCCGTACTACCCAAATACGCAAGCCTTATGTACTTGAGTGTCAATTGAAAACGCGAACATGGATGAAAACATTTTCTTAATTAACCGAAAAATGATTTCATTTAAAGAAAAACAAATTCTTCAATGACTGGAATTCTATTTTCAAAATACAAAAAAAAAACAAAATACGCATTGTCAATGTTGAAAATTTTCAACGTTATATTTTTATACGCTATGGGTATTTCAATGAATGTTACATTGAAATAGTGTATTTAACTTTTCAGGAGAATAAAATTATACGCATACGCATGAATTTAGGCATTGCATAATTATTCAAGGTAGTCTCATTTGAGAATTTGATACTGGCAACCCTTTTTAATTTGTAACTCATACCAATTTGAAATAAAATGAAAAATAAATTCCATAAAATTATGTGTATGTCGTTTGGCATATTTTCATTAATTAAAAATTTATATTTTCTAAAGCTGCACATTGTTCTCTAGATGTAAAATTTGGTTGTTACAACTTGTATTTATAGGTTTTAGAGGCAGGGATTTTCAAAATATTGTTACGAATATAACTTTAGATTTAAGTTAATTTAGATGAATTCCGTTAATTTAAGAATTTGAATTGTAACGTAAATTTCTACTACACAGTTTATTTGAATAACTTCACAACAACAACTACTGTATAGATTTTTCTACATCCTTCCATTTCCTCTTTCATTTTCTATTTTGTTATTGTCGTACAATTCTTGTTAAACGTCATCATTGATGATCGCTTAATTCCTCTTTCTTTGTTACCCCCTCGCCTGTATATGCGTTGTTGTTATTGTTTACTCACTGTAAGGTTGTATGTGTTTGTTGCATTTGTAGATTGTTCGTAATCTAGGTGTTACCAGATCGTCTAGAAACTTCTGTAGCGACAGGCGAGGCTCATATAAATAGGGGAAATGGAAAGGCAGTCAGTCAGTTGTGAATCAGATCGCGAATTGAAACCGTCAAGTAACGTAAAGCTGTAAAGTAACGTGCAAAGTAAAGTTGTGTGAATAAAATCATTGTAATAATCGTAATCAGAAAGAACCCGCGTTTTATTTAGTACGAACTGTGCTGGGAAATAAAACAACGTCTACACGGGATTAAGTAAAATCCAAGAACGTAACAATTGGTGTCGGAAGTGAGATTACGATAATACTGGAAACAAGGCTGAACTACAAAAACGTCTGTTGGATGAGTTCGAGCGCCGTGGTATGAACATCGATACATATGAGTTTGACAGTAAGGATTTATCGGATTTGAAGTGGATTTATCGGAAATGGGCGAATCCAACGGTGGGGAAGTCTCGTCAGTAGCTGCCAGGGGTGACGATTTCAGAGAAATGCTGGCCAAAATGTTTGAGGAAAATTTCAGAAGGTTCGAAGAGAATTCCAGAAAGTCAGAAGAAAACACGAGACGAATGTTCGAAGAAAATTCCAGAAAGTTAGATGAAAATTCGAGAATAATGAACGAGAAACTCGAGAACATTACAGAAGTTATTGGAAGGAGAGTGGAAACCGTGGAGGTCCAAATTAAAGAGTTGGATAAGAAAGTGCAGTCGGTTGACGAGAAGATTCTGTCTGTGGATGAGAAATTTCTGGTCCACGACCACAGGTTTACGAATCTGGAGAAGAAAATTTCGGAACTGGAAATTAAAGGTGGTCCGGTGCGAGCTCCTGATAACACACTAAAAATCAAACCTCCTGTATTCGACGGCTCTACGTCATTCAATGTTTTCAAGTTACAGTTCGAGACAGTGGCTTCTAGAAATTCGTGGAACGACAGCGATAAAGCGGTTGGACTACTTCTGGCATTGAAGGGCAGTGCTGCTGATGTTATACAGAGTATTTCTGTCGCTTCTAGAAGCATCTATGAAGATGTTATTGCGGCACTGGAACGTAAGTACGGTGGCGAACATAAACAAAACATCTACCTTATGGAATTAAGGGGAAGAGTACAGAGGGCAAACGAGACGTTACAAGACTTTGCAGCTGAGGTGGAACGTTTGGTGTTAATGACGTATCCAGGAGAGAATCACCCATTGCTGGACCGTATGAAAATCGAAACCTTTGTGAATGGCATACGTGACCCTGAGATTAAATGTGCAACATATGCGTCACCAAAAGCGTCATTTGCCGAAACCGTTTCGTTTGCTCTTGCCCAAGAGACGGCAAGAATAATTGTTAAGCCCCAGACCCACAAGATTCGTCAACTGGAGACCGAATGTTGCGAACCCAAAGCTCTCGTTAACTCGATCAAGGACGCCATGAGGCAGGTAATAGGAGAAACAAAGTCAGTAGGGATGACTAAACCCAGGATTAGATGCTTCAACTGCGATAAAGCAGGTCATATTGCGCGCGAATGCAGAGCTAAGCGCAAACGATCCAGGTCATTGTCACCACCTCCAACGAAAGATGGTAGAAAAATGGCTCAACAGTCCACCAAGGAGTCACCGTCAAACTAAATCGAGCCAGTCCAGCGGGGCATGAACTGGCTCCCATCGACGATGGCCCCACAATCTCCATAGCAATAGTACAACAGAAAAGTCACAACATAACAACAACTGGGTACATCAATGGTGACAAGCGAGTTCTGACGTTAGATACTGGCGCATCAAAGTCCATCATAAGATCGGATCTGGTAAAAGGAAAAATAACGCAACTTAATGGAGTCAGACTGCGCACAGCAACGGGGGAGCCTGCGGCAGTACACGGCAAGATTACCCTGAGACTAACTATTGCCAATAAATCGGAGAATTACGAGTTTATAGTTGCCGATATCGTAGACGAAGTGATAATAGGCGCAGATTTTATGATTGCCTTTGGTATCAATCTGGATATGAAAGAGCGTGTGATGACCTGGTCTAACGTCGAAATTCCGTTAAACGTGGTCTACGATGAAAGTACACCCATTAGACGTCTGACTACGGACCATCCAGAGATAATACCGCCCTGTGCCGAAGCAATAATATGGGTACCAATGAATGGAGATTGTGGAGCCGAGAAGTTGTGGGTGGTGGAACCAGCAGAAAACATAAACAGTAACATCCTAATAGCGAATGCCCTGGTGAAAAGCAACAAGGACGGATTGATTCCTGTTAGAGTTTTGAACCTGTCAAACAAGCAAGAGTAAATTTGCCAATTTTCCGATGTTGGACAATGCACACCAGCTGAAGCTGTAATTAATTTGGAAACTAGCACCGAAAAGCCAGCAGCCATGGAGAAGAAGCACCTCGACGGCTACATAAAAGAGTGGACACACCAATTATCACCTTCCGAGAGGAACAAGGCTAAGCAGCTATTATGGAAATATGCCTCTACCTTTGCGTTGACAAAAGAGCACCAGGGAAGAACATCAGTGGTGAAGCATGAAATCCATACAGCAGACGCGAGACCCATTAAACAGCCTCCAAGAAGTGTTCCCCTGGCGAAAAGAGACGAGGTCCAGAAGCTGATAAGTGAAATGGAAAAGAGTGGTGTAATAGAACCATCGTCAAGTCCATGGTGCTCCCCAGTGGTATTGGTCAAGAAGAAAGACGGAAGCACCCGATTTTGTGTGGACTACCGAAAGTTGAATGATGTCACCAAGAAAGACAGCTATCCGCTCCCAAGAATCGACGACACATTGGACACATTAGCCGGGACGTCATGGTTCTCCACCCTCGACCTGCAGAGTGGGTACTGGCAAGTAGAGATCGCCGAGAAAGATAAAGAGAAAACAGCGTTTGGCGTTAATGGGGGTCTCTGGCAGTTCAATGTCATGCCATTCGGACTCTGCAACGCCCCGGCTACATTTGAAAGGCTGATGGAGCGTGTGTTAAAAGGGCTGCAGTGGAAGTCGTGCCTCATATACCTGGATGACATCATAGTCATGGGACGCAACTTCGACGAACACATCAAGAACTTAAAGGATGTTCTACAGCAGCTTTCGTCTTCAGGCCTCAAGCTGAACCCAAAGAAGTGCAGTCTCTTCCAACGAGAGGTGAAGTTCCTGGGGCACCACGTGACGCCGGAGGGCATATCGACGGATAAGGAGAAAATTCAAGCCGTCAGAGATTGGCCGCAGCCCCGAAATCTCCATGAGCTGCGAAGCTTTCTGGGTCTCTGCACATACTACCGTCGATTTGTCCAAAATTTTGCCAACATCGCCGCCTGTCTACACCGCTTGACGCAAAAAGGCCAGAGGTTTCAGTGGGGCAACGACCAGGAGGAGGCATTCAGAAAGCTCAAAGACATGCTATGCAGAGCCCCCATTTTGGCATACCCTATACCTGGCGGCAAGTTTGTTCTGGACACGGACGCAAGTGCGTGCGGCATCGGTGGCGTCCTTTCCCAGGAAATCGACGGACAGGAAAAAGTCATCGGGTACTACAGCCGGACATTGTCGAAACCTGAGAGGAATTACTGTGTGACGAGGAGAGAGCTGCTTGCTGTCCTTGAGTGCGTTAAACACTTCCACAAATACCTATATGGCCAGCATTTCCTGCTGAGGACCGACCACGCTGCTCTCCAATGGTTGCTGCAGTTTAAGAATCCGGAAGGTCAACTAGCCCGTTGGATCGAGAGGCTCCAGAGTTATGACTTCAGAATCGAGCACAGAAAAGGCGGAAAACACGGTAATGCTGATGCCCTGTCTCGTCGGCCATGCAAAGTAGAATGCAGGCACTGCTCAAAGGCTGAGAATAAAGAGAATATCGTTGATGTCCGACTATTGCAGTTTGAGTCGGGTGAAGATTGGTCGACGGAACAACGAAGAGATCCCATTCTGGGCAAAGTAATTTCGGCCATAGAAACGGGCAAGCGACCTAGTCGCAAAGATATTACCTCGGAAAGCCCTCTTTTAAAATCCTATTGGGCCCAGTGGGACAGTCTACTTATAATAGATGGTTGCCTACATCGCAAAAATTGGATTTGTCGCTATGGTGTTCCATCTGAGGTTCATTCCGATCAAGGTAGGAATTTTGAATCAGCGATCTTCAAGGAAATGTGTGACTCCTACGGAATCAAGAAAACCAGAACGACGCCCCTACATCCACAATCAGATGGCATGGTGGAAATATTCAATCGCACCCTGGAAGAACATCTACGGAAAGTGGTGGACAGTGGCCAACGAGACTGGGATGAGCATATTCCCAAGTTTTTACTGGCTTATAGATCGGCCATTCATGATTCCACATCCCGGACCCCAGCCAAAGTTCTGTTCGGAAATGAATTAAAGCTACCTGGCGATTTGATATTCGGTGCTACCCCAAACGACGATGTGAACCAAGATGAAGACAGTCAAAACTCTTTTAGTAAAGTCCACGATGCAGTCCGACATCGAATAAAAATGGTTAGCAACCGCATGAAGGCAAGGTACGATCGAGCGGCAAATACCGATGGGTTTCAAGAAGGGCAACTGGTACTATTGTTCAACCCACAACGAAAGAAAGGACTATGCCCCAAATTGCAAACGCACTGGGAAGGACCCTACAAGATTGTCACGAAAATAAATGACGTCGTTTATCGCATCCAGAGGAGCGACAGTCCCAGGTCGAAGATGAAAGTTGTACATTTGGAGCGGCTGACCCCCTACGGAACGGGAACTGTGCCTATTCGGGACGAACAGGCTTAAGCGGGGGGCAATGTTACGAATATAACTTTAGATTTAAGTTAATTTAGATGAATTCCGTTAATTTAAGAATTTGAATTGTAACGTAAATTTCTACTACGCAGTTTATTTGAATAACTTCACAACAACAACTACTGTATAGATTTTTCTACATCCTTCCATTTCCTCTTTCATTGTCTATTTTTTGTTGACGTACAATTCTTGTTAAACGTCGTCATTGATGATCGCTTAATTCCTCTTTCTTTATTACCCCCTCGCCTGTATATGCGTTGTTGTTATTGTTTACTCACTGTAAGGTTGTATGTGTTTGTTGCATTTGTAGATTGTTCGTAATCTAGGTGTTACCAGATCGTCTAGAAACTTCTGTAGCGACAGGCGAGGCTCATATAAATAGGGGAAATGGAAAGGCAGTCAGTCAGTTGTGAATCAGATCGCGAATTGAAACCGTCAAGTAACGTAAAGCTGTAAAGTAACGTGCAAAGTAAAGTTGTGTGAATAAAATCATTGTAATAATCGTAATCAGAAAGAACCCGCGTTTTATTTAGTACGAACTGTGCTGGGAAATAAAACAACGTCTACACGGGATTAAGTAAAATCCAAGAACGTAACAATATTAATAAACATAAATAATTTTGCAATTTTTGCCACTAAACACATACTATCATTTATATCAAATTTATGAAAAAATTGGAAACATATAACTGTATGAGACTACCTTGTATAATTATGCCATGACAAAAAAAATATACAAAATGTGTATGTAATGTTTTGAAAAATATAACAAAATAAATTCTAAAATCCATTTGTTTGTAGATGAATTTTACAATATTGGTAAGAAGAAATATATGGTTTGTTGACGAGCCAATATCTAAATCATATTCCCAACTTGTCTTGAAAGGAAAACCTGGCATTCCATTCATTTTTCGCGTTTTTAGTAGAATGTTAAAATATGTCAAATGTATTTGTATTTGTTTTTATTTATTCTGAGATTTTAGACCATAAGGTAGAGTTGTATTTTTTGTACTAAATATTTATTAAAATTAAAACTTTGAAAAAATACAAAACTATGATACCTAAAATAACGGTATTTTTTAAATTCGTCAGAGTTGCATATGTTTTGGCTCAGCTAAAATCAAGTTATACATTGTATCAATAAATTTTACAGCAAAATACCAAACATTTCTGGGAAAATTTCAATTACAGTTTCAATACAACCTAAAGCGTTGGAAAAATACCAAGTTGACCTATTTTTTAACTTCAAATAAAGAGATTATTAAAAATTTCCACATATTCAAATTTAGTAGCATAGTTGTTTGAAGAACAATCGGTCATGTTGTGGCATTCAAGGGTAGAAGTGTATCGAACACACGTCAAGCTGTTCTGTAACAGGCACATGAGGTAGTTTAATGTGTTTTTATTGGTATAATTTGTTTAAAATCACAAAATTAACATGAAATGCCATTAAACCCCAATTTTAAATTGATACTAAGGTTTGTGTGGCATTTTCTTCAACTAAATTTCTCGCTTGACACAAACAGCTGATTTGAAGTAAGGCCGAATAAGATAGGGTTACTAAATGCTTCCCTTAATTCAATCAACAAATTAATGATATTACAGAGATTTATATTGTTATTTTATGTTGCGAATCATGGCATAACTATACAAGGTAGTCTCATTTGAAAAATTCATAATGGCAACCCTTCTTAATAAGGAATTCATATATCAATTTCAAATAAAATGAAAAAAAATCATAAAATGTTACGCATGGCGATTGGCAAATTTTCAACAAATTAAAAAAATGTTTCTAAAGCTCCACGTTGTTCTCAAAATTTTACTAAGCATATTGCAATTTATATTTATATGTTTTATAGGCAGGGAACTTAAAATAGTAATAAATATAAATGATTCAAACATTTTTGCCACTGGACACAAAATTTGCGTACATTTTGAACGAACATATTTTCGTTTAAATTTTTAAAGCTTAATGTTGTCAAAAGCAAATTTATGAAAAAATTGCAAACATATGACTGCATGAGACTACCTTGTATAGTTATATGGTTAATCCCATAAAACGTTTTTCTTTTCGAACGTTCCTAATGTAAATCTCTCTGTGCACAGACTCAATTCTGTCGGAATACATTGAGCCAACAGCAAAATTTCATTTACTTTTAATTGGATGTACCTACTGCATACATACAATATTAAACGACATGTACATTAGAACTATTTGCAGGGTTCACCTACTTTATGAGAATTTATTTGACAAATATGTAATATGTTGATCCGGCAAAAAATAAAAATATTTAGGTATTTTTACTTTTGACTGTTATTTTACCGGTTACGAGCATGTACGGTCAGATCACCAAACAGACAACATTTGAACCAAACTATTTTGGACATATTTATTTTAACTAAGTTCAAAAAGGTGTCTCCTGCAAAATCAATGAACATTTATTTATTATTTATATTAATAAAATAAATATAACATACATACATACGTGTAAAATATTGTGGTCTAACAAAAATAAAAAAAAATAATTATAGAACAAATATATTTTTAGTAAAGCAAATATGTCATAAAATGACCTCACCAGTAAAACATTAATATACGCCAAATACGATCAGCCGATCTCTTAATATAGAATCACGCACAGCGTTGAATACAACTTTGATATTTTTAGTGTCGGTAGCGCATGTGAAATGTGCATATATTTTTTGTTGTGGAATACCTTCAAGGAACATATTTTTTATGAAAATCTTTGCCTTTACATAATCCCTCCTGGGTCCCTTATATTCCGGAAAGTACTTATCCAGGTCAGAGTACATTATTTTTTCTATGAGTAAATCTTCCTTATTGAAAAACACCACAGTTGAGGTATCTGCAAACCATGAGGAACTGCAAATTGTATTGAAGACATTTTTCGATTCAACAAGACGATTTTTTTGATCGTTTTCCCGCAGCACTTGATCGTATTCGGAAATGGCAGTCAAAAATATAATGGCTTTTACGTTGTTGAAACAGTGTATCCATTTTCTACGTTCGGAGCGTTGTCCCCCAACATCCGTCATTTGAAATCGTACCTTATCCACCGTAAAATTGTAATCTACCAGGCCGGTTGTTTTTATTCTCACATGCAATATATCATCGTCGGTTGGCAAATAAGACGATTCCGCTATGCGATCTATATTTTCTAGAAAATATTTGGCCGAGTCTATTAACTGATATTTGTTACGATTCCTGTAGCATTCTTGGACTCCAGCATCTTGCCACAGTTCCTTTATAACCATTATATACGATTCCGGAGAGCATGCGAATGTCTTAGAATCAGCAGAAGCAATCAGCTCCGCATTTCTTTTATTGGTATGCAATTCGTAATCGATATTGAGGGAACTCATAGCCGCGACCATTGCTTTCATGGCACTTAGTATATTGTCCATAATACCCATTATAAATCCACGCCTATCCTCTTCTGTGTAACTTTTGTCGTAGATAATTCGCATTTGTCGTATGAATGTTGATTTGCCCGATTCACCAGTTCCCAAAAGTAGAAGTTTGATTTTGGCTCCTTCCTCTTTTTGACTTCGACGAAGTTGGGAGTTAATCTGCATATTTATGCGACTAGCTTCGCTCATAAAGCAACAGCAAAACATTACGCTATATAATAAATAAAAAATGAGTTAAGTTATTATTCCCAGATCGAGTAAATGTTTACTACTAGTACTTTAAACACAAATGATTTCAATATATACTTAATCATATTATTTAAAATTTATTAATAACTACAAATAAAGAACCAACGTCTTTTTTTGCGGTTAAGTACGTCTTGTACAGGCCTCTATAAATCTAGAAAATCTCTTACGCAGAATTATGTATATACGCTTTGTTCCCTTATTTTTTAATAGTACAGCTAATAAAAGAGCAAATGATCAAAAATTTATCTTACGTGTGGTACCATGGCATAATTATGGAAGGTAATCTCATTTGAGAAATTGATAATGGCAACCCTTTTTAATATGGAATTCATATATCAATTTCAAATAAAATGAAAAATAAATTCCATAAACTTATATGTACATATGTCAATTGGCATACATATTTTAAGTAAATTAAACAAAATATATTTTCTAAAGCTGAGCATTGCTCTCAATATTTAACCATGATTGTTTAAGCCTCTATTTATTTAGAGCAGGGATGGAAAATGAAGAATGTGAAAAGGTACCAAAAGAGTACTTTTTTTAATAAAATAGTACTTTTTTCAAGAAAGATAAAAAAAAACATTTTATTCAGTTTCATAAAGATCGATTTTCAAGATATCATCATTTAGTCTATAATATTTGAGAATTCTTGCTTCTTTCGATTGCATTTG